CGCTCGACCATTTATCCACACACACACACACTTCTCAGAAACCTCCGCGGCTGACGTCGACAGGGCGAGCAGCTGCCTACACGCTTCTTAGTCACCATACCCTGGCGACAGTCCTCAAGTGACTGCTGTTGATTTCCCTTCAACCGAGAGACCTTCATTACAATGGAACCGTTTCCACAGAGGCGGCTTCTACACGTGAGGACTCCGTTTCATCCGTCAACTCTCCTAAAGCTCCTTGGCGTCTGCTTATTTATGGTTCCACATCCAGGATTGGGAATTATTTTAATAGAACCCAGTAAAAATGTATGATATGATTACAAAGCTGTTAAAAGTAGCTGACCTTACGGCCTTGGAAAAACTAGTTCAGAAAACTGAATGAGACATTTGAGGTAGGCGTCCCAGGGAGCACCAGCACAGGAAGCATGAACGAAGAAGAGGCGACATGTGGATCACATGGAAAGGTTAACGCTGAATGAAATTACCATAATAGAAACGTAAACTCATCTCGAGCTTCCTTTACCATGGTCTTCTCACGCCCATGCGTTTTTCGTCTGTTTGTTCGTCATATGTGAACCTTCTCATGAAAGTAGGAAAGTAACACCTCAGTATTTTTGTATTTTGAAATCTCACGTCATTCAAAACACAGCAACCCTTACAATCAACCATGAAATACTAAAAGAATCTATAAAACTTCGGACGCCAAAGGATTATCTGAACGTCTTCCAACAAGCACACTCCAAGCACCACACGCAGCCGAGACTCGACAAGTCACGTGAACACTTCGGGGCGAGCAGAGGAACCTCTTCTCCCCACGCTTGTGGTTGGCTCCTTCTAATGATAAGAACAATCTCCAGGATATTTACAAAGGAATAAAAGACTAATTTTCGGCGCCTTGAATGGTCTTCATAAGTCATTCCTATATTTAGTCCATCGTGTGTGACCAATTGCGTCGACACTGCTGGCCTTTTACTCTTTCTTTCTTTCCCCCATCCCATTTTTGCTTTATGCACGTCAGCCACATGTCTCTGCATCTGAATCGAATCAAGCAGTATTAACATGCGCTTTTTAGGGGTGATTTTCATCACGTATCTGCTGCAGTTTATTAAGTACTTTTTGCCATAGTCTTGGGTAACCCCGGTTTATTCGGTCTCGACCAGTACAGTGGAGGCGTCGTAAAAGCCAGTGAGGAGATGGACGTACTCTCTGTGGGCGATCTGAGGACAAGTACCAGGATCCGTTACTGTTTCATTTAGAAAACCACCACCATCGCTGTTCTCTCTTTCGCCCTTTGTCTGTTTCGCTCAGATCTTATTTATTTTCTTTTCATAATCAGTTTCACACGCTAACTCTCTCTCTCTCTCTCTCTCTCTCTCTCTCTCTCTCTCTCTCTCTCTCTCTCTCTCTCTCTCTCTCTCTCTCTCTCTCTGCCTTTCCCTTTTCTATTATCTTATTTCTACCCATCATTTCCTCTGCTCTCCTCTCCCTCCCTAAACGTGTTTTTTTTCTTTTTTTTTCTCTCTCCCTGTAATGTCCCTTTTCTAACCTCTCCTTGTTTCTCTTTCCTCCCACATATCCTCCCATGCTGGCCAATCCCTTCCTCTCCCTTCTCTTTTTTTTCTTTCCTCTCCCTCCTTCTTTCTTGGCCTCCTTTCACTCCGGCTGCAATCCATCTTCGCTCTCTCTCTCCTCGCCCGCCAGCCAATAGCAACCACCAACCTACACATCGCCACACCAATCTCCACAGCGAAGCGTCGACCAACGAAGCGCATCAAACCCGCAAGAGACCGCTGCCAAAGCACTAAAATAAATATATCCATACTTATATGAATGTATAATTAATGAACCATGAATGGGTGGCCAAAGCGAAGCCTGGGGGACCTCATCATTCTCTGAGATGTATGCCTCGCGCAGACGCCTCGACTATCAGCGTTACCACGGCCGGCACGAAGGCGTTGATGCTCTCCAGCTGACCAGCTCTTCTCCCTGTCGCCGAAGGAACAAGGTGTGATGGAGTCAAGATGTTGCATTTTTCTTTCATGGAGTGAGTTGGATCTGCTCGGTGGAGGAGAGGCATTCCTAATTTTGAGATAATAAATATGAATTAATATGTCTCCCGGCGTGAGCTTTCAAAGACGAGAGAAAATGAGGATAAAAGAATGACCTCGCCTTCTTAATCAGAGCAGTTGTTTACATCTGAACTCCTGACTCACCTCGATCTCCTGAGGATGGCTGAGCGGATCCTGCCCGCTACGGAAATTTTACTCGCCTCTAACTTAGTCACTTACTGAATGTGTCTTTGTTCTTCCAATGATTATTGTTAGCGAATCTTTGCCCAGAATGTCCTCGCGGGTTCCTTCATAAAGCAGCACTGCGCGGGGGTCAGTGCTTTTGTTGATAACATATTAATACAAGGTACTGCGTCTTAGCACAGGATGTCCAAGTAGCAAATGACTTGTTATCGGAACGTTCGCTTGGTCATTTGCCAGTTAGGAAGACGTGG